AAGAGAGAGAAAGAGAGAGAAAGAGAGAGAAAGAGAGAGAATGAGAGAGAAAGAGAGACAGAGAGAGAGAGAGAGGGAGGGCGCGAGAGACAGAGAGGCGGAGGCAGACACAGAGAGCGGAGACAGGGAGAGGCGGGCACCGAGCAAAGTCCTAGGTCGGATAAGGGGGGCCCTTGAAAAGGGAGCCCTTCTTAACCCTCTTCTGGCTCTCTTAAACAGGGACCTTATTCAGAGGGTCTATATCCCCAAGGCTCCCCCTAATCCTGCAAAGAGCACGAGGGAGCAAAGGAGGGAGGCGAGAAACCGAAGCAACAACAGAGCGAGGGAACATTTGGGAGCGTGTACGCGAGAGCAACAGGAATTCCTTTTCGGGATCAGCCGCATTCTGTGCAATTGCCACTGGCCATGGCTTCCACGCTGTCGCCTGGAGCTCGGGTGACATTTCGTGCAGCTCTTGGGGCGGCTGCTACGGCATGCGCAATCTCAAGCCACAATGATCACAGGACCAGACCAAGGCCTGCCAGCCCATCTCGCAGGTACTGCCCAGCCGGGCAGACGCAATCACCAACAAGCACAGCACCCTGCCATTGGCAGATCATGGCGTGTTTTGCATGGTTCAGTGGCAACCTTCGCATGCAGCGGCCTGGAAAGCGGTTGTTTTGGGCTCCGGGCACCGGACGCACCTTGGTGGTTGGAAGAAAATTAACAAGTTAGCGTTTGGGATAGCTTCATTACATCGGCTCGTTCTCTGAGAAAACAAAAGAACAAAAGGACCACCATGACAAGTACCGGGAGCGAGTTGGGGCAAGCGAGTGAAGGTACGCACGATGTGGATGTGTGAACGAATGACCGGCCGGTGGGCCCCTTTGAATCTTATTATTGTTGGCTCACGGCTAACTGCCTTTATGACCTGGCTTTTGGAGATGAAGCTGTCATGAGATTGATGGTGTACGGAAGGACAAGTCAAGGTTAACCGCTCTTCCCCATAAACCCTACCTCTCACATATTGGTCTAACCGTTCACACCCCAGATATGCTGCATGTACCTATCTGCATGTCACGCTGTGCCCCAAACACCTGAAGCCGCACACTCCTGGAGTTCTGACAGGTCCCAAAGCACTGCGGCTCGACGGAGCGGTAGGACCCGGCCCGGCAGCGGCTGCAAGCCGTGGAGCCCACCTCTCGCCACGTTGGATACTGCTGGGAATCGTCGCAAACCTTCCGAGATGCTCACAACGCCAAAGCCTCAACCTCCGCCTCCACCTCCGCCTACGCCTCAACCTCAACCTCAATCGGTCCGCCTGCACCGTGGTGAAGCCTTCCCCGCAGTAGCCTGGGCTTGAAACTGGGCTTCTTGGTCAAAAATTCCACTGAGGGGTCCAGGGAGTCTCGTGTGAATCAGGTCGCTGATGCCCCAAAACAAAGCCGTGAAGATGCTGACCATGAGCCACCCACATCAGGATTCAGCCACCGAACACGAGAAACACAACAATTGAGCTGGCAAAGTTTTGTTCCAAGCCTAACAGCTTCTTCATCCTCACCGCTACGTCTCCTACGTTCGACAACTCAATAGGCAGCTGACTGCACAGTTTCGCACTGCACATTTGCGAATCGCTACGGTACTTTGCGAGGAGCCCTCGATGAGCCCTCCCACCTTCGACTCCAATGAGCACAGGGACTGCAGGCTGCAGAGCCCGGAACCGGGGCGATCTCGTTGAGTGGGCAAGCAAAGCACCTGGGTCGACCGGTTGCGTCCGAACTTCTTGCACCAGGGATCCTGAACCATCCTAATTCCAAATTGCACATGTAGCTTCAAGGAATTAGGAGGTCCAACAAAAAAGGTGATGATGTTTCCACCAGGGACATCCTTGCATTAGCTAGGCATTGGCACGCCTATCGCGTGTGAACCGGTCCCCCCCCTTTCCTCGTAATCCCCATAGTAAACGGGACAAGGCTTAGCCCGTGAAGACGTCGACTGACATGGTCCGTGGTAGAATGCTGCGAACGCAAGCCCCGAACCCACCCAAAACCAAGAAATTCTTATCAACCTGAGAACGCCTATCGGAGGGTTGGGTGTTACACGCCCGTATGAGATGAGGCTCATTGACAACGGGTGCAAACGCATAGGGGGTGTAGGATTGTATCCATCCTCGCGATGGGCGTGCCAGTGCCTCGCTGCATTCCCCAACCACGCAAGCCCGCATGTTTTTGGGGTCGGCCACCAAGGCACTGCGTGGAACCTCCCGGCGCAAAAAAGCCGGGGCCGCAGAAACTGCAGGAGGCCTGACAGAACTGCATAGGAAAAGCATGATGCATGCGAGAGGGCAACCTATTGACAATGATCCATCATGCTGTTCCTGCTTCTTGCACAATTTTCCCACACACACACACATACATACACACATACACACATACACATCATACACACACACACAGGCCACACACACACACATATATTCGGCGGAAACAACCATAACAAACGTGTGCAACCTGACTAATGTTAGTACACGAGACCTAGACTGACAGACTGATATTTTTGCCGCCCGTCAACGAAATCCCCGTGCATGCTGTGGACAGTGCACAAGCGGACCTGCGTGCAACATGGGGACCCAGGCCATCAAGGGCAGGGCCTTCAGAAGCCAAGCATCGGCCGGACGGTGAAAACTTTACAACTTGCGTATTTGTTGGTGTAGCAAGAGGCACGCCTGCCGTTAGCAGACGCGTCTGCAAGCGTGACTCTCAAAATGGTGTGCCCCCGCCTTGCGGGCGATGTCTTCCGGCGTCTTGTCGCACGCACTTTGGCGCAGCAGTTCGGGGAAGCCTTCCGGGAGGCCTGTGCTTCTTTCCAATATGCGCTGAGCACCAGTGCAGGCAGGGCCTGAGACCGCGGTATAAGCTCCCGGGCATGTATGCTCGATGCCCTGGCGTCCTCGACGCGACGCGCGGACGAAATCATGCGGGACCGCCGCAGATGCTCGCTGGTGGCCCTGCGTCGCGCGCATCGTCGTAAGTTGTTCCGCAACTTCTGGCGGCAGAGTTGCACGCCCTGGCGCGGCTGGCTGCAAAGGCATTCTCGTGGGATGGGCACCTGGGCAGTTCGTGGGCGTCGGGCGTTGCCGCTGCCGAGATCTCCCCAAACGCGCCAACGCGGCAGCACGCTGTTCGCGCCTGAGGTCGTACTCGGGGTTGCGACCGCGGTGGGGCGGTAAACGCCAGCTCGGCACCCTCGCAGAGCAGCCGCTCCCATTTTCCTGCGTAAAACCGTCGCTCCCGACGCCGTAGCTCCTCCGCGGGCACCTCCTCGAGATCGACGTCGCGCATGCACGAGTGCAGACAGGCGCAGGGCTGGGACGGCGAGCCAGCGGAACAAGTCCTGGCTTGGCGTTGCTGCGGATGGCTGCGGCGCGGCGGCTGGCTCAATGTCATTGTCGATTTGCGTGGGGGCGGCCGCAGCCGTAACTGTAGCGGCTGCGGGGTTGTTCCGCCGTCCCCTCCCACGACCTCCCCGACCGCGCCGTCCCCAAGGCATCCCAAGGCATCAATGTCGCGCCCAGCCAGACCACCGTCGTCTGTCACAGCAACAGGCCGCTGCAGCGCCGCGGCCCCATGCGCGAAAGACCCGGCCCCCCCTCCCCAGCGTAGCGCACAAGGAGGCCTCTTGCGAGCTCGCGGGCAAATAGACACGTATTTGGAACGTAGCCGGCGCAGAGGTGGTGAACCAGTTTGGGTCGGGGATGGGCGTTGCCCCGTGGCCAGCAAGGCCTCAATGCCTTGGGCACGCCACTCGGGTCTGAGCAGCAGCATGAATGCAGAAACAACCGTCTTGCAGCAGTATTTATAAGTCTGGTGCTTTCCTGCGCAGCGAAGGCGCCCACTAGCGACGTGGGACGAAGCCATGCCAGGTCCACCCGACCTGCGCTCTCGCGGCGATGAGCCGGTCGATTCTTGCAGGGGTGGCAACGCACCGCTTCCCACGCCTGTGATGAGCGCGCTCGAGGCGCACCTTGCTGGTTTCCGTGCGATATTGCAAGAACCCAACTCATTTACAGCCCCGTGCTTGCCTGGCAATCAACCGAACGTGTATGATGGCCCAGTGAACTCACTCGTTAGGGCGTGACGTCGCATTCCTTGTGCATAATCATAGTTTCCTGATGTGACAGACATCCAATAGCGATTTATTAGTTGCGCATGGGCAAAATTGTCGCGCCTTTGATGCTGCAGCTCAGTGGGCTACACGTTGGCGGTTTCATTTTGCAGCGGGTCCAGAAAAATCAGCCGTTATGTGTTTTGGTCCTGGGTGCCCACGACGTCGCTTGCCAGAGTTTCGCGTAGGCGCACTACTTCTCCCAGTTGTTAGGTCGTATATTTACTTGGGAGCAGAGTTTCGGAGAAATTTGGGTTGGCGACAGCACGTTGATCACCGTATCAGCCGCGGAGAACGCAAAAATGGCAGCTTGCCCTTCCTGGACGGCATCAGCGCTACTGCCCGTGAGCTTTACCCAGTTTCTTTTTTCCGCGGACCTTTTTCCCTCTGCCGTCATGGTCTCGAGGGTTTGGCGCCTGCGCCGCAGCGGCGGCAGGCTGGGCCCAGCGCCGCCAGCTAGCGACAGCACGGCCTCCAGGGGCGGCACCATGCTGAGGCCGGAAGGCAGCAGTCCCCTGGGCATGATCTCGGCAACGGCCACTTGGACCGCGACGGACAATAGCCCCCACCAACGGCGCGCCCAACCGCTCGCCGCGCTGCGGTGCACTGCTGCCGGAGCGCGGTAGCCCCGCAATCGCGTCTGAGTCCGCAGGAAAGTGCCGGCCGGGTCATTCCAGCGCCCCCCGACCTCATTGCGGAGGACCATCAGGCGTTGGGGGCCGGGCTCGCATCTTCCGGTCCTACGTTTGGTCGGCAGAACGCTTGTTCATGCTATGTGGGCACGTCTAATCTGCATGCCTGCCAGGAGCGACACCAGGGGAATCATGCATCATGCTGTTTCACAAAGGTCTTTTTGGATGGCTTCCGTTCAAGATGAGTTGGCATCACACCCGCTCTTCGCCCCGGTGCACCCAACAATGTAGCTGTCCGCTGGTTGAAGCATGTCAAAGCCACAGTCACCGTACATTCTCATGCACGCTACCAAGCGGTTTTTTAAAGCACCGAATCTCTACAAAATTACTTCCGGTGGCAACCACGCCCACACCTACATGCAGTAGTTATGGGCAGTCCATCGACCCCGCTCAAGCTCGCGTCTGGGGTTTGGCTCGATGTGGGCATCATGACTTTTTTTTCGGATGGCCGCTCTGCGCGCCATCGTGGTGTGAACCTGCAGCGACTTTGTCGATTGTGTGCTTCTGCCACACACTCACTCCAGCATGCTCTGTTGGAACGCACTGCGCACAATCAAGCGCACCAGCGATGAAATGCTTGATTCACGTCGCATTCCGTGATGTTTGTGTTTGATCACGTACATCTTCAAGGACCCGTCTCTCTGCTGAATTGTCACCCGCCTCTCGCGCGCTGCTGCTCTTACAGGCCGGGCCGCATTCTGCTCGGCCTTCACAGACCTGCCCACCAGCCAGGACGTCACCATCCCTTCGTCCCACCCTGCGTCCTGGGTAGAGGGTGCCGGAAGGCCTCCTGTCAACTCGTGCTAGTGGGGGCAAGGGCACGCTGCCCATCCTTCTATCTGCTGGGCCAAGCACCGTGCGCCAGCGCCCTCCTGATGTCGTGCTCAGCACATTGCGTGGCCAAGTCCGGCTATCTGGTGCGCTGAAGGGCAATGAGTCTGCCCATGCGGCCCCGTACGCCACTGGAGCATACTGGGGCCGACCGAGTGGCCGACCCTTCGGCGTCCGGGGTGGAGAGGCGCACATGGTAAGAAGCAGCCAGGCACACTGCTGGTTTGGAAGGAGGGGCAAGTGCAGCTGCAGGTGCTGCAGCAGCGCAAAGGGTTCAATGGCACAGGTTTTGTTGGACGCACATGCCGCACCCCTCCTCCACCGTGCTTGGCAGCATCCAAGGATGCTCGGGCGCGGCTTGGCACCGTGGTAACATACAGGGCATCGAGGAATGCCACGAGGTCATCAGCTGGGGACGCAGCGACGCTGCTGCTGGAGCCAGGGAACCGTGCTGCCCCAGTGCGAAAAGCGCAAGGGCCGGCGGATCCCCTTGTTCGCACCCTTCGCCTTGCAGCATCTCGCGGAGCAGTCCTTCGGAATCCCACCAGCTGGCCGAAAAATAAACGCACGAGCGGCAGCAGTGGTGGCGCCAACCCCGCAACTTGGCGAGAGACGCGGCCCGTGAGATGCTGTCGTAGGCGCCTCGGCCAGCGAGCGACACGACGACCGCATCGTTCCGTGTGTCTAAGGCGGCCTGCACGCGTTGCCTGATCGACAGTGGTCGCCCACTGCTTGGCGAGCGTGCGAGCCACCATGCGGCGAAACACATCCCCGTTGCGATACCGCGCACGCCCCCATCTGGTTTGCGCATGTTTGCGTAGAGCCGTGAGCCGCGCCATGGCCCCGCCGACCGCAACCTCGGAAGGAACCTGCACGCGGGCGAGGCGAGTGGCCGCAAAGGCCAATAGTTCCTGGGCTTCCACATCCTGGAGCGCATGCCTGAAGAGTCCGGCGCACCTCCCCGCCGAGCATCGCGCAAGACGGCCCACGCCGAAAGCCGCACGGCGGCCAAGGCATGACCCGCAACCGCTGTTGGCAAAGTTCGATGACGGGCGAGGAACGCGTGTCCAGCGGCGGTGGAGGCACCGCCGTGATTTGCCAAATGCTTCACAAGTAACGCATCGCACCCGTCGCCTGCTGCAGCTTGTGGGCCATCTGCTCGGTAAGCTTTTGCAGCTTGAGATAGCTTGAGGCACCCAAAGAAATTCAGACCAGGATGAACACCAGAGCCGCAAGAAGTACAATGAGCTGGCCAAAAAACAAGGCAAAACTTGTCATAAGCGCTCAACCGTCGACAGCAGAAGCGCCGGCAATAACCTTCATTATTTAACATTATTTACTGGCAACTTTGCAGATGCATCACATCTCACCCGTCCCTACCTGCCGTCATTCGGTTCCGATGATTCACAAACAAGAAAAGACACACATGGGGGGAACCTGCCGACTCGGTGTACATGGATGCTTGACTTGACACCAGAGCGGAGTGCAGGGGAGCAACGCCCGTCAACATGGCAGGCCGGCTGACAAGGTCACATGTGGCAGTCGTGCCGAGGGCCGGCACGCGAACGTACATGCACATTCGCTTTGGCCACAGCAACCCGGGTAGGGCGGCGGGCAAGTACGCCAGCAATAAGCGGCACACTGTCTGCAGCTCCAATCCACTAAGGCCTCGACTTTGGAGGACTTCCGAATCTTACGTGTTGCACCATGCCAGCATGCACAAGTCGGGGATGCTGGATTGTTCTTTACCAAGAAGCACATCGTACCGTAGCTTGAATTGAACTGTACATGCGCGTGCACTTCGGCAAGCACCCTGCAAAGAGCAGGTTTGCTCAAGTCGTCGAGCACGGTTCCGCCGGCCAAACGTGTACGTAAGAGTTCGTTCTCTGACAACTTGCGGGAGCAGTGGGTGCCTCTCGGGTCGGCATGCATCGACAATTCCTCAACGACTCGGAAAACGCGCACCAGGGGCATGCGTTGGAAAGCGTACTGTTATGCAACGCCCACTCGCCGGCGTGACACATCAGCACAACGACATGCAACGACATGCAACGACTCTAGGGCGCGCGTGCGGTGTCTGGGCTTGCGCAGCACCCGACCCGGATGATGCCAACGGCTCCTGCACCTCCGCATTCCATTCTTGCACGGACACAAACAGGCGGGCAAGGAAGGCAACATTCCCTTGCCCGCAGCGGCCTGTCCCGCAACAGTGGTCCACCCAAGCAACGGAATTCGTGCCTGAATAGCGGAAGCGAGGCGTCGAAAAAAACCACTGCCGTAGCCAGGCTCCCCCCCCCACCCCAAGGATCGGCCCAAACCTCGAGCTTGGGTGCCGAAGCCCCTGAGCAGATGCGCGGACCACGGACCACGAACGACCGGAGATCTGGAAGTTGCAAAGTTAAAGACAAAGCAGTATAAGAGCATGCTGAACTCCGGCACCCAGGGTACACCACAAAAAAAGCACGGAAAACGGCAGGATCATGATGCCCTGCTTGAGCAGCAGTAGCCACCTCACAACCCACAGATGGCCGCTGGAATATTCGAAGCATCGCGTCTGGCGCAAAACATCGCAAAACGGATGCATGAGTCCGAACTTGCCTAACTCAACAGCGGCCAGTCTCGCAGCAACCTATAACCCCTCAGATACACCACACCCCCCCCCCTGTCAGACTCAGCAACTTGGAAGGCGTTCGGCCTGCCTGCGCGGACTGGTTGTTAAACTTGCCGGCGGTGCAGGGAGAGCAGGTGGCCGCAGCCGCCTCGCTCTTGTAGAACCTGGGAAAATCTTCTTTTATGGTTTTTGGGGGAGGGTTTGTTTGCTAGGACAGGGGAAGTCGAAAACTCTGCCAAACCTTTCAAACCGGGTCGCCCGGGCTCACAGGCGCGGCAGGAGGTGCCGTTCACGGCCTCGTAGCCCACGTCGCAGAGCCCGCAGGTGCTCTGGCCCACCTCTGTGAGTTTGGGGCTGGTGGGGTGCTGTGAGCCTTTTGCACCTTTTTGCACCTTCTTCCCCCTCTCCCCCCGACCCACACCCACACCTCCCTCCCTGCCGTCCTGGTCCGAGAAGCGCCCGGCTTCGCAGCGCGTGCAGGCCGTGGGAGTGTCGAGGAACTTGAAAGTGCCCGGCTGGCATCGGGCGCATGTGTAGTTGATCTTGTTGTTCCCAAACCTTGGCAGCGGATGTCTCTGATGTATGTGCGTTTCTGTTCCGAGAACACGCACTAGACATGAGCTGACGTTGTTTGGGTCCATGTGGCCTGGTTCCATTTCGTGCGTGCCGGGAAGCTGGTTGACATACGGGACAGCGCTCAACTCGGTTCCAATGGCGCAGTTGGATGGGGCGACGGACACGTAGTCCGCCTCCTCGTTTCCCCTCTCTTCGATCCTTGGTGGGCATCGGCGGGCTTCCTATTTCTGCCATCCGAGTCTGATTTCACCGTGCTCTACATGAAAAACCCAAGGGTCCTGATCTTCATCTTGGCCAGCAAGGCTGCATTCACTCCCACATAGCCCACGGACGCAACCAGAGACTGCCCCTCCGCGCTGAAGCCATAGCTGAGGTACGGGTGCACCCTGTCCCAGGCCTGGGGCAGGGGGGACGGCGGGGAGAGGTTGCAACCCTATGCCCAGCGATCCCGGAAAGGATCCCTGCCGTTCAGACGGCCGTCCCGACCTTGTTGTCCACGTTCATGTACAACCGGCGCTTGTAGACGCTGTAGGAGCCGTCCGTAATCGTGTAGGTGGAAGGCTCAACCTTCGCGTCGGCCGTGTCCTCGAGACAAGAGGCGCAAGATGCGCAAGCGCATCCAGCATCACCTGAGAGGGCCTGAAAGGACAGAACACGAAGACCCTCGAGCAACACGGCCCACTCGGACCCGATCCCTCTCCTTGACGCCCTTGTAGGCATCACTGGCGATCCGTGCAACAGTCAGCTGACCTGTGAATGTGGCGTAGTAAGCGTAGCCGAAATAGGCGATGCCACCGGTATCCTCACTGGAGGTTCTGAAGGTTGCGCAGGAATGCAAGCTTGGGAATGCTTTCTGCACCCAATGAACCTCTGACGTCACCACCGCCCACACACCCAAGATCGCTCTGAAATGCGCCGTAGCTCACACGAAGCGTCTGAGAAGTCCCCAGCTGGTCGTAAACAGCATTTGAAGATGGGTAGGGGCTCCTACGATCATGCCCCAAACAAGGCTGCTTCCAAGAATCCGCTGAGAGCCACTGGTAGAGCTGATAATCGGACTCCGAGTGCATGTAGCAGTTCACGGGCCTCCCATACGTTGGGGGTCGTAGTGCTTTCCGGGGGGGGTTCTGTTTGGGAGTTTCACCGCACCTCTGGCTCTGGATGTAGGCGGCAATGTCCCCCTCTGTGGTCAGTTGTTCCAAGTCATGGTGCTTGTCCGAAGGGCAGTAAGCGAAAGCTTCCGCCTCGTAGCCTTCGTTCCTTGGAAAGGTTTTTTGCGGAGGTTTGTGCGACTTGGAGGATGACTTGGGACTCTCAGGGATGGGCTGTTATGAAAACCTACTCACAGCAGAAAGATCAGTAGCTTGAAAGGCATTGAAAGGGTTTGAGTCAGTTTGTTTGCAGCTTTTCGATGGCAAGCCGAGCGTCCCGGCGAAGCAGTCCTTGCACAGCGTGGCCTCGGCGAAGAAGTCGTAGGTTCCCGAGTCGGACCCCGGACCGTAAGTGTTGATGGGCACCTGGTGTTTGGAGTCTCGGGTCTACTCTGCATCTCAGAAGTCTGCAACAGGGCATCCGTACCACCTGAGCTATCCGAAACCCTTTGTCGCCTGCCAAACACCTCAATATCCCTACAGCTCAGATCGCCAAAACCCTCGCTCGCGGGTGCACCTCCGGACATGCCCAGGACAAGTCACTCCACTCCTCCAGGGACGCTATCACTCGAGAGCAGGGCGCTGCTTCGTAGCTTCATTTGTCCGAGCTTAGGCGAGGCAAGAGTCGCGCTTCAGCAATATAAGGCACCCCGGACTACACCAGGCACCAAGCAAATCCCAGCACGATGGTTGAAAAGTCATTTTGGTTCGCTTGCAGGCCTGAGAAGGAGAACAAGTCTCAAAGGGTCGTGTGGGCATCAAGATCTTTAAAACATCCCCCAATCCTTTAGTTGAACCCTACAGTACTGGTTTGGGTGGCACAGCTGCAATAGAAACAACAGGGACCCGGCCAAAGGCCCCGAGAACCAAAAGGGGGAACCCTCAACCCTCCTTAGGGTTTAGGGGCAAGTTTAGGGTTTAGGGTTTAGGGTTTAGGGTTTAGGGTTTAGGGTTTAGGGTTTAGGGTTTAGGGTTTAGGGTTTAGGGTTTAGGGTTTAGGGTTTAGGGTTAGGGTTTAGGGGGTTTAGGGTTTAGGGTTTAGGGTTTAGGGTTTAGGGTTTTTAGGGTTAGGGTTTAGGGTTTAGGGTTTAGGGTTAGGGTTTAGGGTTTAGGGGGTTAGGGTTTAGGGTTTAGGGTTTAGGGTTTAGGGTTTAGGGTTTAGGGGTTTAGGGTTTACGGTTTAGGGTTTACGGTTTAGGGTTTAGGGTTTAGGGTTTAGGGTTTAGGGTTTAGGGTTTAGGGTTTAGGGTTTAGGGTTTAGGGGGGGCACAGAAGAAAACCCACCCACAAACGTCCTTGACGCCGTCGCCGTCATCGTTGGGGAGCACCGAGGCAAGGTCCAGGCCGTAGTCTTGCAGCTGCTCGCTGGTCCTCAGAGACAGCACACAAGAACGCGCACGTGGGGCAGGAGATTGGCGGGGCATGAACAGCCCAAGTGAGCAACGTGAAAAACCCGAATCTCCCTGCCCGAAACCTGGGAGGCCCCCCGGGTCCAGTTGGTGAACATCCAGTGCAGCATGGCCAAGGTGAGGCCGCCCACTTCCGGGGACGTCAGGCAGTCGTGGGCTCTGCCATTCCTGGGGTCTCAACGGTTTTAAAGGCAACCATACCTTGATATGACCCTTGAGCTGGTGGTTTAGCTCAAAATCATCCGAGAAAGGCCCTGAGGGTTTGGTCACTCGCCGGGGTTCTTCGCGACCACGACGGCCAAACCGTCCGTGCCGACCTGGATCTGCGTCACGCGAACCAGGGAACTGCGGCATTCCCACCTGCACAATTATTTTGAAGGTTTAGGGTTTAGGGTTCAGGGCTTAGGGTTAGCAATTGGGTGGTCATGCTCAAAGAGTTGGATGGCAGAATTTGTTGCTTTGGCCAACAAGCGGTCAGAAGACTCTGTGGAACTGTGGGGCGCGGGCAAATCAAGGGTTGTGTGCGCTATGTTTCTTTTGAAATTGAGGGATTCGAGGGAGTATGGCTTTCTCACTCAAGAAAAGCAGTGTCGTCAAGGTCCCAAATCATGAGCAATCACCGCCAAGTCCACGTGTAGCCATCGTCCAACAAGAGAGCTTCACTCTCCTTCCAGTTGCGCGACATGTCGCCGACGTCGACCTGGACATTGGTGGTCAAAAGGCTGGCTCTGCAATATCACTTTGGCCAGTGTTTACTGCACAACCCTTCTACGGATGATCATAGGCGGACCCCGAGACCTGCAATGGAACTGGGCGCAGGTGCGCCAATACAAGCACATGCAAGACAAGCTGCGTGGTCAGGATCTCCGCGATGCTTGCACACTCGCCGTGCACCGGAACTAGAACCACCACCTGGACTCATCATCAGCACAAAAACTGTCTCACGCACAGCATCACGCCATTGCTCTGGAAGCAACTTGGGTTGGGCAAAAAGGGAAGGCCAAAGCTATAGCAAGGTTGGTGGTGGTTTACCCGATCATAAACCGTCGGCTTCAAAGTGTCCTATAATCTCTGGCTTCCAACTCAAAAACCTCGAGTCCCAGAACTGCGCCACCTTCGATGGTGATCGCAAAGCTACTTGCATTGTCCATGCTGTTGGCCCAGGCATTCGCGACCGGGAAAACGGTGGAGGATCCAGCGACCTTCCAAGGATTTCTTCAAGCCGGTCTCTCAACAGCCTCCCTTGCTGGACAACCACCAGCACCCCCTTTGAAATCCTTTTGTCATTCCTCGGAACCTTGATTTCGATCTGACCAGAAACAGCTTGAAAGACTGCGGCCACCGCCACCCAAAAATGCGCCAGCGTCGCCATGGGAAATCATAAGCATGCCGAGCACTAAAGCGAAACAAAGCTTGAACCAAAAGACACAAAACATACCCCAGAGAAACACGTAAGAATTAACCGATTGGGAAAGCAAGATTCAGATACTGATACTTCTTCTAATAGTTACTTGTACTTGAACGAAAAAATACGAAATCAAGATGACTACGCAAATCAGTATGACCTGCCCCCCACGCCTTTGTCCTGTTGGCAGCCCGAACCCCCCACCACCATCGCAGAAGGGCTAAAGGATGGAAACTGGCAGCGTGAAAGGGATGGGTTTTACCCAATGACACACTCGCAAGCGAAACAGAGAGCGAAGGAAACAGCGACAGAAAGAGAGATTGAGAGAGAGAAAGAGAGAGAAAAAAAAATAAAGAGAGAGAGAGAGAGGAGGAGAGAAAAAAACAAAAACATAAAGAGAAAAACAGAGAGAAAGACAAAAAAACAGAAAGACTGAAAGACTGAAAGACTGAAAGACTGAAAGACTGAAAGAAAAAAAGAGAAAAAGAGACAGAGAAAGAGAGACACTGAAAATGATAAAAATGAGGAGAGATGGAGAAAAAAAAAGAGAAGGAGAGAAGGACAACGAGATAAAGAGTATTAAAAAAGAGAAGATAATGAACACGATTCTCGCAGCGGGACGGGGTTCATGACTAGAATCGAGTTGTTATCCGAACACCTCCTCTCACTGCCCTTCGTTTCTGGGCGATTTACTGCGACATCTTCAAAACAGCGGCAGCAATTCAAAAAGGTTAACTTAATGCGCATCAGCTGGCCTCCACGTGCTCCAAAGCATGCAACAGCCTTGCCAAGAACAACCGTCATGTCGTCAGCAAACAGAAGGCTAAAGGGGAACCAAAGCATCTTGCTGCACGACTGCCGTCACTGTTTACAATCATGAACTCGCTCCTCTAAAGCTCCTCACTTTCTAATTGAGGAGCTTTCTAGCTTTAACTTAACTCCGCTTACACCACCTCCTTCACACCTTCCCCACACCCTCCTTTCACAATGCATGATCGACACCTCTTCGACGTCGCATTCAAGGGTTTCTTGCACCCCCTCCTTCACCTCCCACCGCCTTTTCACCCCCCTACCCCAAACCTCCAAGCGTAAGCCCCTTCAACACCCCCTCCCCACACCCCCCACACCACATGGGTCCAACAGGAATTTAGACTTGTCTGCTTCTCCGCTCTTCTCCATTTTCGAAGAAAAAGAGAGGTGGATTTTGATTATTCTCTCCATTGATTCTTCTCTATTCTCGAACAATGAACGAGAACAAAAGCAAGAAACAATGGGCTGGAATTTAGATTGAATTCTCTAAGTCGGAAATTCCTCTCCCTTCTTCCGACATTCAAACAATTATTGAAACTCAAGAAAAAATGGAGGTGAATTCTCACAGCGGGTCAGCTAAGTCCGTCTTGGGCCAATCAGCACGCCCTCTCCACGTGATCTGGACTGGTGCGGGCTGGTGTGCAACGAAGATTGGCCTTGCATCCGCGTGCGCCAAACCCAGGCACTCCCGGTGTTCTCTGGACATCGAGGAGGAAACTACCCTGGTAAGCTTCGAGTTGCCCTTCTAAGCCGAGCGCCTCTCTTGTCCGCTATGCATGATGGGAAACCGGCGCCAATGGGTTCCAGCAATCTCAAGGTGTTGCAGCGCACGAACTAGGAGGCTCAGATTCGCTTTTGATCGTTTTACCCGTGATCGTTCAAGTTCTGGGTTTAAGCAGCCACAATCGGCCGCCACCACATTCCAACCGTGTTTTGTGGCTGGAGACGGGTAACACCACCGCCCACGTGCATTCAAGCCTGCTACGTATGGACGAAGCGAGGCGCCAGACCGACGCGAAATGCTCTTTCCGGGTCGCGAACCAGGTGACAACAAGGAAAAGACCTGTCAACCGACCCCAGCTTGTTCAATGGCATGTGGCCATCTGTTCAGAACCTTGATGGGAAACGGCCTCTTCCCCACCCACCAAAGTGCGTTTGGCCCAGTCCCCGCGTGACAGATGGACCAAGCAAGTCAGCAGAGGCGATGTCCTTGATGACAATGAGAGCGACCTCGAGGGCAAGAGCGCCTTCTAGAAGTGTCCTAGGCCTTCCACTTGCCTGAGTGCTGCAGCTTGGGACAAGGGCACTTGCTCCAAATTTCTGCCGTTCTGGGGAAGCTTGGAAATGATTTCTGGACAAGATCTTCTGACGAGGCAAGCCCAAGGCTCATATGCTGTTCGCATCGGCCAGGGATGAAGCTTGACATGGATTTGTTAGAGATGAATCCTTTGGACATTGGCTCTCCTTGGCAGGAGCTGCTCTAAAAAAAATTGAGAGTTGAAAAGAAAAGGTAAAATAGATCTTCATTCAAATGGGGGCCCCTCCACCCCCAAGCTTTGGATTGTCATTCTGTCCCACAGGGCACTGACAGACCCCATCTTCTCCCAATGAACGCATGGACAGCAAAGCAGGTGAGGTGAGACGGCCATGACTACCGGAAGCAGCCAAACAGCACAGAACAACACACAACACACAAGAGAAAAGCAAAACGGAAGCAATCCAATCCTAAGGTGAAACATCCCTCTCTCAGAACACGAAGAGGTCTGTAAAACTTCTTAACCTAAAGACACAGACAGGCAGACTGCCGTGACTGTCGCTTTTGGCACACTCAGCAGAGAGGACAGGTAAGCTGCGTGCCTCTCGCGTTCTTTCTCTTCTTCAGCTCGTCTTGAGCCAAAGTTAAAAGTTAGTCGGCAACCGCCTGACTTTCCTAAGCACATGCCAAAAACAGCTTCCTCAAGCTGCAGCACTGCTTCCACGCTTGCAAATGCACTTGTGCATTTGCTGCTACTTGTACACAGTACAAAACTCTCTTCAAACGTGTCGCAAAATCATCGTAGCGCAAAGAAAACATGCAAAAACTGCTTCATGCTGCTGCTAAGCACATGCTACTAGGTTCACATGCTCACATGTCCTCGCCACAGCTCACTGCACATGAAAATGGTCGAAGACATCCCAGCACAGAAAAACCACGCCAACACATATAGCCCGACATAGTGTTTCTGTAAAGCGAAGATCCCAATGGAGATGCTGGAACGTGCCTCCTGATGTTCATCTTCCCTTGCACCAAATCATCCCACAGCAATCGTGACAATATTCCATACCCCCTTTCGGGGTGATTTGAAGATCATCTCCACGCTGGCCGCTGCTTCACAACAGCTGTAGTTGTGACATCACATCGAAAAGCAGCCACCAAAGACCACTATATTGCCCAAGATACTCATCCCAGATGCCTGCATATCACTCAAGCAGTCGGGGACGAATCCAGCAATCTGCACATGGGCAAAGTCCATGGATCCTGGAATTCTTCTGTTGCACATGCTTGCACCCCTCGGGATGGTACTTGTCACCGTACTTCGAGAGATAGATTGTTGATGCTGAATCTGCAACGGCTTTGCAAACTCCACACGGCAGCACACTCCTGATAAGGTCAGGATTGCTCGACTGCTTCGTTGCACAGTCTCGTGTTCTGTGGAAGCTAACAGTCTCATCATCATCCAGAAAGATCTCATAGAGGTGGCGACTCCGAAAGAAGACCCCATCAGGTTGCTCCCTGACCGCTTCAGCTACACTCTTTGCCTTTGCCTTCGGCATAGCCTTTGATCTTCCCAAGTTAGACTTTGGCGGCTTCCTCTCGGAACCTTCATCCTCAGTCACCACTCTGACTGTAATCATAGAAGGTCGAATGCAGACTGTAGTGGCACATGCTCCAAGCAGCATTCCCATCACAAGAATAGCAGTGCAAAAGATCGTAAACTCATCCATGGCTTCGCGAGGACTAAAAACTCAAGGTTACAAGACAGTGCTCTGAAGCGCCAGTCACGCGAGAGACGACCAGAACACAAGACCAAAAAAATCCGCCACATGATTTAAAATCATGTACGCTTCCAGAAGAGGACGATGCACAAGAACTTAAAAGGATTGCATGGCCTGAATGATACCTCGCGCCAACCTTTGGTTGTAGTACCCTGTGCGATGCCAATCCGTATCCCCAAACGTAGCATGTCTCACACAGCTGCATGTCCCAAACATCAAGTGAAGCTTTCGTGCAAACATGGGCTCTGACGACATGAACCGCAACTGTTTTCCAACGGGAAGACCTGATCGACCTTTCACGCCGGTCCTGCACAGGTGGACATGACACTGGTGAAAAAGACGAGCCTTTGACAACGTTCTCTGAGTCCCAAATCTGTTCCATATGGTGTTATATCTGGGTAATTCGAATGAGCACGCGTCTCCAAGGCTGAGATAGTGCACTGCCGACCTCATCACGCTGTCCCACTCAACATCAGCAGGCGAAGGCTCACAAATTTTCGGGAAGTTCTTTAGCGGGGATCCTGCCGAGCAAGGGGTAGACAGGTGAATGTGCACTCACCGTCCACAAGCATGCCACTTCCTCACCACGTCACAAGCCTGGTTGTACACATGACGTTCTTGCATGCTTTGAACCACACCTGCATACGGAATGCCCTGTCGACGACACTCCTGCGCAAGTTCAGAGTCCACTGAGCAACACACTTCAAGTAGTGCAACATGGGCTTCCTGGCGCACATCAAGCCTGCCACGCTGCAACGACAACTCAAACAGGTGCTGGACTATCGCGCACAGTCACAAAACCCAATCGACTTCGGTGCAGGTTAAGCAAGGCGGCGGCAACGTTTTTAGTGAAGATATCAGAAGGCGTATTTCAACGTGCCTGGACCTCCTCGGGACGTCCTGACCATTCAAGAGGTCGATGGCAGCTTGACTGTCACGATCAAGTCAGTAACAAGCCTGAAGTTCACTTGCAAGATAACAAGGAAACCACTCCCTGAACTTTTGCAACAGTTCGAATCAGACATCCAGCATAGTACATGGCTCACCAGAGACCCCCTTTCTTCCCAAGCATTGGTACGGCGCATGAAGCGTCAGTAAAGACATGAAGGTGGATTCGCAGG